TGGCTAATAAAGTACAAGACGTACAACGTTATCGATAAGTGTAAGGAAGGAGTGGAATGACCATTTCTGGTGTATTAAACATCGTCTCGGCTGGGCATTCGAGCCTGTGGGGTTGGCGGCTATGGCAGCTATGCCTGCAATTACGATTTTAATTTTCCTTGCAGCTGGTTTGACTTGTTTTCTGTCTATAATAAAATTCGTGCCTACAATTATCTAACTAGTATAAATGTGCAGTCGATATTGTGTGTATGGAACTCTGAAAAACTTTGCAAACGTTTTCTTCTTCCGCTACTCAGCGGCGTATAACCATGGAAGTTGCACCTGACTTCAACAACCTGGGAGCCATCCAGTAAGCCATTTCAGCCAAAATTATGAACTAGACTGAGCCAATGGCAAATTTCTTAAATCAACTGAAAATAAATATCTTATACTAAGAGCGTCATATGCAACAATGTCCAAAAAGCCATATAAGATGAGATTTATATCTCACGGAACGATAATAAATTTGAATGTTACCAAAACGGTTCATCGTTCTACTTTCGGGAAAGAAATGTATGGAAGTAGTTTCGTTTGATGAGGTCGTATGAACTTGGGTGGCGCAAACTCAGTTCACTTCCCAGCGAAATTGTTCGATGAACGACGTATATTACTTCAAGGTCATCTACAGAGAACTGCAAATTTCTGTTCATAATTGAATTCCCAAGTTACTGCACAATAAATGCATCAAGCCTAGGTACTCGTTTTAAAAAACAACTGCGCCAATATGGTCATTAAAAAAAGGAGAAGTGAATATGCAAGTTCCAGGAAGCAGTTCAGAAGAAGAGGAAGATGCAAACACTGGAAGAAGAGTTTTATTTTTCTAGAGTTTCGGATTTTGTCGGGAATCCCTAATCATAGGTGATGGTATGATAGTCGGAGCCATGCGCATATAGGTATGAAACATGCACAGATTTCATGGTATTTAAAGTTCGTAGCGGTCATACGCGTGCGTAATATTATTATCCCTCCATCTCCTGTAGCCACCGCTTGGGGTCTAAATTGGTGCGGTGATGGCTTGACACTTCGCGTTCGACTCCTTAACTGCCACAATTGCCTTGTCCGTGTGTGGTGCGAGCCTGGTAATTGCACGACAATTATGCTCGCTGTCATCCGAGTCGCTGCTGGACACGGCCCCTCCCACGACAACGGGCATAA